TGACTGCACATTAATCTTCCGCAGATCTTTGATTTTAAGAACACGCTCTAGAATTATGATGCTTTTATGGTGCGGTTTAGATTACAGCTGTAAAAACCAATAAAGTACTTAGAGACTGTACCCTAGCAGAAAAAAAGCAGAAGGTCAGAAAAGCTGTGGAAACATTACCGCTGTGGGTACCTACATTCACCCTGAGAGAGTATATATCTCACACATGTCGTGTGCTATGAAAAAATGAATTCACACAGTATGAGATACACATAATACATTTTTTAAGTGTTCTTATGACATCTTTAAGTGGCGAGAACTGCTTTAGATCAGTCCTGTATCACAATAGCTTTAACATGCTGAGTGTCTTCAGCTATTATAACCAACATATTTATGTGCCTGCAGACCGTATTACTCAAATCAAGTGTCACACGTGCTTATTAATGAAAAATACACGTGCACTGATAGTCAATTAGCCAGCTGACTAGATAATCATCCCATCAGAGAGATGAAGCTATCATAACAGCTTAAAAAATCGACGTGGGTCAGGCATCCATAGTCAACAGGAAGCAGACGTGGCAAATGCTTCATCACCGCTGTGGTCAGTGAAAAGCTCAGCTGAGATTTACTGTCAGTTTCTGGCTGGATCAGAGGCATCCGAGATCATTTCATCTACTACCTGTCAGTCTAAAAGCAATTTAACACATGGTAAGAAAGGGAAAGGGTGGAGAAAAGGAAGGTATAGAAGATAAAAAAGAGGGAATTCGTTTGTATATGGTTATTTTGGCATTTTAATTGGAATAATCTTTTTCGCCTTTGTTCCTTGACTCGGTCCTGCCCTCTTTTAATGAGCTTTCCATGTATCACGGAGGTGATTTATTAATAAGGATTACAGGGCATGATGTGACATATGTAAATACTTTAGCATCAGCTCAAACAAGGGTTTAGGAGAACCCCAGAAAATACATGAAAGGAGTGTCAAACAGGGTTCATTCTTTACACGTGCCTCTTATGCCAGCTTTCTCTCTCTTTCTCTCTCCCTCTCTTTTTCACACGCTCTCATTTTTGAGCAGCTGTGACTGTTGGCATTTCATACTTAAAGTTCAAAGAACTTTGCACTGAGCCTGACTTTCCCATCTCTCTCTCTCTTTCTCTCTCTCACATATAACTCTACCCCTGGAGGATTGATACTCACACTTGTCTAGGTGGGCGTACTAGTTGGTTCTGGGTTAGATGAAGCCCTCCGGCATGAAGACTAAACTGTTTACAAAGCGTTCTTTAATTGGTTTATATCACTCTGTCTGTGTGTGTGTGTGTGTGTGTGTGTGTGTGTGTGTGATTCCATGTGTAGGTGTGTTTTGGTACGTGTGCATGTTTTTTGGGTCAGTGAATGAAATGAAAAAAATAATAATCTTAAGGTTATTTAATTTTGAAGAAAATGCCACCCACACATCTTCTGATTCCCAGCAGCCACGGCTGCACCTTGCTGATTAGGAATCGCGCAGGTGCCAGTCATATCATAAATGCCTTTTTGACACAACCCACACACAGATTAAGACACACTCCAGATGCACACAAACACTCAACTTGACATTATATGTTTATATATACACCTATATGTGAGGTTGCATTGAGTGTTTGATATATATTTACATATATATTAATATGTAATATTAATATATATGGCTCTTCTGAGCCGTTTTAGGACAGTGGTTTTCAACCATGGAACCTCAGCAAACTTCCAATTATTAATTTAAAAATAACTAATTATTCAATAAAAAACAATTATTAAAAATAAAAAGCCTAACTTAATAAAAATGCTAAAACTCAAAAAAAAAAAGGGAAAAAGGTAAACTGAAATCATAGTTTGTTCCTCTTAATCCTCTAAATAACTTGTTTTTATTGAAAATAATGAATTCATACAAAATTAGGATCTTAAATATTATGGAATCAAAAACTGAATCATGGTTAATTATTTTAATACATCAACACTCCAAGTTTCTGGTAATGAAAAAGCTTAAAAACAAGCAATGCTGTGATAATTATAGAAATGAGGTGGACCCTCACATCAAATTATTTTTTTGAGAATGATTGATATATACTTTATACTTAACTAATAGTATAACTTATTTATTTATTTCAAATTTTACTCAAGCATTATTAAATTAATATTTCTATGTTGCAGAAAGCTATCTACAATACTGAACAAGTCAGTATTGAAGAAATTTTCCATGTATTTTTTATGTACCATTTTTTTCCCTTACACAGTTTTCTCACGCAACTGCAAACCACATTTATGACCCTGCGGCTGATGGAACATGACTTTTTCTCACAACTGAGTGTTTTACAGTGTACAAAAACATTCATTCATATTCATGACTTCTTCTAGTGACTCAGGGAAGACCCAGCATAATGGAAATACTTTCTGTGTCCACTTCTGTCCGCTCAATGGAAAGTCCAAAACCTAGTGTAGAACAGTAATGATAGAGTCTGTGCTCTTCACTTTGATGCTGTTGTGACGTTTAATGGAATCTATGGCATATATTCAGCTCTTACTATTATGTTTTCACCGTCAGAAGTACAGGATATGCTGAAAGGACAGTACACTGTTTTACTCTATCTATGCTAACCGGAAGGCTAATTTACAACGTGTTCTCTCAGGATTTTTCTATGGGGTTGCAGAATAGTATTTTTTTGTTTTCGAGTCATGTTTATCTACCATGGTTTTATGAAAATGCGAATTCCTGCATTTTAGGACTACAAAATGAACAGCTCCATTGTCCTCTGAAATTGTTTGCCACATTCATTTAAAATGTAGCAATTCTTACATTCTTTTATTGAGTCACCTTGAGTTATTCGTGTGCAGTGTGGCTTAATGTAACTTCATGCTCTTACTGTCATGGCCTCCCGTAACAGTGGTAAATTATGACCATTCTGTTCAAGTGGCGGACTTGATAAATACAGAGGCTGGCACAAAACCCAAGAAAAACAATGTTCTCAGGAACATTGAGTTACAAATGTTTATCTACAGCTCTAGCTGTCAGGCTGCTTAATATATCTTTGATATACTGGAATGAGGGTGGCTAAATACTGCACATATACACATACCTGGCATAATTATCCACTCAGAAAGATGAAACAGAGATGACTCATTGAATGTCTGCAAACAAGTTTATGACCGTCACCATGACAACAACAACAACACCGCTGACAATTCAGACACTGGAAATAGAATCAGAAAACAGATCAGAGGTTTTCACAAGTTACTGAGATCTGAACCTGTCGCTCTCTCGGCAGACCATAGAACGGTCCTGAGATCGCTCTCTATGTTGCCATGGAACCCTGAATCCAGAGGTACATTTTCAAAACCAAAAACGTACAGGTGTTCTTAAAAGCATGTTTTCAAAGAACTTCAAATCTGACAATGGTAAGTGTTGGGTTTGAATACTGCCACTATCTGAACAATATGTGCAACAAAATGTCTCAGAAATGGTTTTTGATAGGTCCAAATGACAAGGTGAAAAGCGGATACCTAGTTCCCTTTTAAAAAGAACATGTTAGACTTTTCATCCTGTGCCAGGCTGGTTTATGCTGGTTTCCTCTAGTTTGGGGCTGGTCCAGCTGGTAGACCAAAACAGCTATGATGTTTACCACCAGACAAATACTGGTCAAAAAGCATGCTTTCTGATCTGGATTGTAGTCTTTTCAAAAGAGTTATTTGAGAAGGTTTCTATGAAAGCCCTTTTCCACCTCAGAGTAAAATAAGAAAGTAATTGTGACTATTTCTCACAATGTGATTTTGCAACAACTGTGGAAGTTATTCAACAAGGTTTCCATAGCAATATTATGCAGCAACTCTTTCAACATTGATAACAATAAAAATTATTTCTTGATCACCAAATCTGCATATTAGAACAATTTCCGAAGGATCATGTGACACTGAAGGCTAAAGTAATGGCTGCTGAAAGTTCAGCTCTGCCACCAGGAATAAATTACATTTTGAAATACATTACAATAGAAACTGTTACTTTAAACTATAATAATATTTGATAATATTACTATTTTTACTGTATTTTTGATCAAATAAATGCAGCCTTGGTGATCATAAGATAATTCTTTCAAAAACATTAAATATATTAGTCACCCCAACTGTAGTGTATCTCATTATGTAGTTTTATGTTTATGTTTATTTCTTATTTTAAACTTCATCTCACAATAACCACTTTTATTTATTTTTGTTGTTTTTTTTACTCTGAAGTGGAAACAGGCTTCTATAAGGTTCTTTCAGTTCTTATCCATAAGAATAATAGGAATCATTGAAAAATGCCTCTTCTAATAATGAAATAAAAGTGGTCCTTATTCTTTGACCATAGACACTTCAGTTTGTTTCATACTTTTAAAGGTAAAGTGCAGGTCCAAAAACCAAAACGGTATTTTGTCCTTCAAGAGAGCTTTTGAGTCTGGATTCATTGAATACAAATGTCTGCTAAAAGGATAAACCAGCAGCACAAACATCAGCTTATACAATGAGGCTACAGCATCTCAATTGTTTGACGCAGTATAAAAACTCTAGTCACATCACAACTTTTATTCACACTTGTTTTCAAAAATCAGACACTGTAAACAAAACACCGCTGATCTCCCATGAATTTAGACTTCACTCTCTGGCATATAAAATGCTACATAAAAAAAACTAAAAGTCTTGACATGAAACCGAAACTCTGACTTAACACTTATATACAATTTTTATAACCAGAGAAGTTTTATCCCAGTGATTCAACTGACATTTATGGTCAGGACAGATCCCGGTCAGACGAAGGTCTTTTGATGTATCAGTACCCTGTCATTACTGTGAAGCCGTTCATTCATAGATGCAGTTGGGCTTTGAATTCTAGTACTTTAGACCAATCGGAGCTGATTTCTGTAGAGGTAAGACGGAGAGAATGCCAAACATGAAACCCAGAAGGAAATCCAGGGTTACAGTTGGCATTTTGTGAGTTCGCCGAGTGAATTCACAAGCAGCTGACACTCTCATTGTTGCTGCTTTTGGACAGATGGTGTTTTTTATTGGGAAGGGGCAGAGAGAAATCCCCATTGCCTATTGATCCAGTGAGCGGCAGGTGTGTGGACTGATAGGCCAGTGGTGGAATGGTGTTGACCAGAATTAGTTGTAACGGTTTCTTCTCCTCATGAAACTGGCATCGGATGTATCTAGCGAAGGCAGAGCGGTAAGTCTTGTTGAAGAGAGTGTAAACCAGCGGGTTAACAGCGGAGGAAAGGTAACCGACCCACACAAACACATTCAACAGTCTGTTCATCACATCGGCGTCACATGCTGCCGGCTCGCAAACCACCGCTAAAACGTTGGTGATAAAAAATGGACACCACATGACCACGAACAGGAAGAAGACAATGCCCAGAACTTTGGAGGCTTTTTGCTCATTGCTGATGGACTGCACTGTGTGCCGTCCGAAAGGTGGCGTCACAACCCCCGATTCTGCCCCCGCCTCGCGGCTCAACGAGCGCCGCAAGAACAGTTTTTTCTCTGAGGGTGAGAATGAGGGTCCGGGAAGGAAGTTGAGAGTGAATCCTGCGCTCCATTTGGGCCTGGGCACCAGTTGGTCAAGGCAGAGCGTGGCCTCACTCTGCAGAGCGCTGATAGTCAGGAAGTAGGTCACCACCATAATGGTCAATGGCACAAAGAAGGCCACAAAGGACCCAATCAACACAAAAGAGTTGTCAGTCAATAGGCAGCTGCCATCCTTGAAAACTTTGGTGTGATCGCGCAGACCCAGCACTGGGATTGGCATGGAGATGCCTGCAGAAAGACAGGGGAAGAAAGTGCATTTGTAGTTTAGTTTAGTCTGCAGAAATTGTGACAGACCAAAAAACAAGGTGGCAAAGAAACCAAACAACAGAGAAGAAATGATGACAGTTGCTTATTTCACACAAAACACAAAAGCAGCAAAAGTTGTGTGACCTTCAGTTTGTCTATGACATATGCAGCTGTTCTATTTTAGTCCTCTTCACAGTCCATTTGTACAAGCAGACATAAATAAATAATAGTTCATATAGTGCTATAACACATTAACATCCAATTCATTACTCTTTTTAATGGTGTTAATACAATTAGAAAACCAAACATAACTGTTTCATTCTGTTCTGTGCTTTTGTTTTATCACTAAATGATGAAAAGGAAGACCCTCTTAATTGAGAATTTGTTCACAATCAAAATTAGGTTCACTGTGATTAATAATAATAATAATAAACCAATATTAAAATGTATTAACAGCCCTAATAAATAAATAATACAGTTGTTTTAATAACATATAGTAATAAATAGTATGGGTTTAGAATTTTGTTATATATAATATTGCTGGCATAGATAACATTTTAACATGCAATTCATCCATTTTTATTTTTAATGGTGGCAATGCATTTAGAAAATCTAACATTGTAGTTCTTTTATTTTGTTCTGTGATATTTTTATCAGTAAATTATCAAAATAGATTATTTTAATTTATATATTTTTGTATACAGTAAATCAAACAAGAATGAAGTTTACCACAAAAAATAGGATTTATTGTCAGTAATCATCATCATCATCATCATCATCATCATCACCAATACTGTCATTTATTAACAGCCTAATAAATAATATAATTGCTATAATAACGCTTTCATAGATGACGTATCAACTTGCAGTTTGGGTTTAGAATTTTGTTATATATAATATTGCTGGCATAGATAACATTTTAACATGCAATTCATCCATTTTTATTTTTAATGGTGGCAATGCATTTAGAAAATCTAACATTGTAGTTCTTTTATTTTGTTCTGTGATATTTTTATCAGTAAATTATCAAAATAGATTATTTTAATTTATATATTTTTGTATACAGTAAATCAAACAAGAATGAAGTTTACCACAAAAAATAGGATTTATTGTCAGTAATCATCATCATCATCATCATCATCATCATCATCACCAATACTGTCATTTATTAACAGCCTAATAAATAATATAATTGCTATAATAACGCTTTCATAGATGACGTATCAACTTGCAGTTCATTTGCTTGTTTTTAATTCTGTTCATGTATTTTGAAATGTGGGCATTTAATTCTATTCTGTGATCTTTTCTTTTTTTTCAGTAAATGATGGAAAAGTGTGGGTTGCATATCATTTTGAAGATAACAAGCCCTACAATTCATTTGGACTAGAAAAAGTTTGCTCATATAAAGGAGTATCATTAAACAGCTGACTAACACTGATATCTAAGGAATGTATTAGTATATGAACCATCTCTTATCTCTAAGGAAGAACACACACACACATACACACACACACACACACGTTGGTATTGGTGGTTTGCAGGAACTATCCATAGGCGGAATGGTTTTTATACTGTACAAACTGTATTTTCTATCGTCCTACACCAACCCTACACCTAAGCCTACCCCTCAAAGGAAACTCTGTGCATTTTTAGATAAAATAAATAAATAAAAATCATTTAGTATGTTTTTTAAGCCTTTTGAATTACGGGGACACAGGTAGTGTCCATATTAACCACCTTCATATTGTAATACCTGTGTCATACCCATGTCATTATACAAATTTGTGTCCTCATAAACCACCCAAAACAGTGTGCACACACACACACAGCTGTACACAAACATCATGATGTTCAACAGCACACATTCTGTCCTATCATCACATCTTGTTTCAATGATAATAATATTCTTCAAATAGCTCTTGGCTCGTAATCATGTGTAAACACTTTCCATTAATTGTTTCAAGCACTAATACATAATTTATTTACAAATCATTAAACTGTTTCAAACTGAGAGTGCAGGTGGCGTATATTTATTAAAAACATGCTGGGCGGCTCAATGGGAACCCTGTGATTGATGGATCTCTTGTTCAAGGACAGGTTCCTATTATTCTACTTACTTAGACACATTGCTTATGCTTAGGCAGCAAAAATATCCGTCTTTGTCATATGCCTTTGGGTTACTTCACTGTAATTGATGGGACTTTTTTTCTCTCCTTTCCTCTAACGGTTTAGAGGCGTAACCTCAATAACACAGCTATTTACGACCATTAGCATTCAGTTCAGCCTGTATAATGTTGTATATGATATACTTCTCATTTCTGCTAGCATCTTGCAAATGAAAAACTTGTATCGCTCAAGGACAAACATTTAGTGAAACTGCCATGGTGATAAAAGATCTCCATGGCAACAGTAAATCTCTGCAAATCGTGTCTGATCTCTGGGGTTTGTTGGGGGGAAACCGAGCTGGTAAGGACCAGGGGGGATGAGGGGGTGATGGCATTAGCTGTGCAATGATGGCATTGGCTGTGCATCTACGGATAACTGCAGGCCTTGGATGACTATGATAAGAACCGCAGTGTGTAAAAAAAATGGGTGTCGCTGTGTGTCAAAATCTGAGAGGAAGATGGGGAGATTAAAAATATATATCGGTAAGGTTTCTCCTTCAAAACTAAGTTTAAAATGGGGTTACTTTATCTTGCTCACTATCAACCTCCTTTGGCATCAGAGTAAACAGAGTTTAAAGTTAGTAAAGCAGCATTATAATGTAAGTTGTTACGGTGCTTTGCTCAAATCCACTGACAGCTCTCAACCTCTAAGGGCTGCATCTTCACAATAGATTTATTCACAATCGTCTCAGTTATAGACATTGTGCTGTCTGACATTTAAGGCAAGACACCAGAGGTAAACGGTCCAGATTTTGACAGATCTCATCATAATTCTCAGTCGATTAATCACAGTACATTAAGACAACTGATTTGCATTACAAGTTTTCTGAAATGTTATTTTTAAAGATGTAGATAATGCATAATTTTATTAAATTAGCACTAATTTGCAAATATTTCCAAAACAGAAATCTGAACATTGGATTAAGCCAGGTTCAAAATACTTATTCTGTTAACATATTTGAGTTAAAGGTTTTTACAGAGGGAATCTTTTTGTCACTCTTTAAATGTGTATGTGTAAACAATGTGTATTTTGACTGCTTTCATTCCACCTTTCTGAAAGAAGACATGCTATGGAAGCATAACAGCCTAAAATCTCAAAATTGACCAGTGCTTGAAAAAAAAAATGGTTTTGTCTGATGTGTCTTGCCTTAAAGCAGACTGAGAGCTGTTTAGCATCAAGAGGAAGGGGGACAGCTGATCTGTTTCGTTTGCATTACAAATACGTGGATAGATGGATGAATGCATTCTCTTATGCAGGAAAAAAGAACAAATGAACCAGTACAAAAACTAATTCTGCATGTTTGTGCTATCTCAGTGCTAAGAGGCTTCTCAACTGATAATTACAAAACCACTTTTTTGTCTTAACAACCAGACTTGCTGTCTTTTCAAAAGCATCTGACTCATGCTCAAAAAGCCCTAATCTCTGAAATGTTAGCAGATCTACTTTGATCCCCAAACAACACATAATTGCCATCAGAAAGTCTTCTTCACTTTAAAGCAGCACTAGCTCTCAGCTCTTTGACCACTCTGAAGCTCGCAGAGGCTTGAGACTAGTACTGGGAACTGAAGCTGTATCCAAAAGTGTACCCGCACAGTTTAACCACTTTATTAGTGCAGATATTTCCGTTCTATATCGGTCTCTATTGACTTTAGTTTTATTGCTTTGCATTATAAACGTGTTTCATTAGACTGTTTTGTTTTTCTTTTTGTATTAATGTGATGTAAATGGCATTGTGGCATTCACTTTATTACATTTCCTGCTCATAATATCCATTTCTGTCTGTCCTGCATGCCGATCGTACAACAGGGCTACTCTGAAATATCAGTGATATTTCAATCAGAGCTTGGGCATTTCTTCAACTTTGGGCACAGCAGAGGTTGATTTTTATTAAAACGAATAGATTTATTTTTCTTTTCTCTTCTTCTCGTTTATATGAAGGTCACACTACAACTGTCTTGGAAACATTTTTTCATGCCTTCATTATTTTTTGCAACTTTTTTTTTTTTTTTTACTTTAGAGGGTTATACTTTCTTTTTAATTCTGTTCATGTATTTTGAAATGTGGGCATTTAATTCTATTCTGTGATCTTTTCTTTTTTTTCAGTAAATGATGGAAAAGTGTGGGTTGCATATCATTTTGAAGATAACAAGCCCTACAATTCATTTGGACTAGAAAAAGTTTGCTCATATAAAGGAGTATCATTAAACAGCTGACTAACACTGATATCTAAGGAATGTATTAGTATATGAACCATCTCTTATCTCTAAGGAAGAACACACACACACATACACACACACACACACACGTTGGTATTGGTGGTTTGCAGGAACTATCCATAGGCGGAATGGTTTTTATACTGTACAAACTGTATTTTCTATCGTCCTACACCAACCCTACACCTAAGCCTACCCCTCAAAGGAAACTCTGTGCATTTTTAGATAAAATAAATAAATAAAAATCATTTAGTATGTTTTTTAAGCCTTTTGAATTACGGGGACACAGGTAGTGTCCATATTAACCACCTTCATATTGTAATACCTGTGTCATACCCATGTCATTATACAAATTTGTGTCCTCATAAACCACCCAAAACAGTGTGCACACACACACACAGCTGTACACAAACATCATGATGTTCAACAGCACACATTCTGTCCTATCATCACATCTTGTTTCAATGATAATAATATTCTTCAAATAGCTCTTGGCTCGTAATCATGTGTAAACACTTTCCATTAATTGTTTCAAGCACTAATACATAATTTATTTACAAATCATTAAACTGTTTCAAACTGAGAGTGCAGGTGGCGTATATTTATTAAAAACATGCTGGGCGGCTCAATGGGAACCCTGTGATTGATGGATCTCTTGTTCAAGGACAGGTTCCTATTATTCTACTTACTTAGACACATTGCTTATGCTTAGGCAGCAAAAATATCCGTCTTTGTCATATGCCTTTGGGTTACTTCACTGTAATTGATGGGACTTTTTTTCTCTCCTTTCCTCTAACGGTTTAGAGGCGTAACCTCAATAACACAGCTATTTACGACCATTAGCATTCAGTTCAGCCTGTATAATGTTGTATATGATATACTTCTCATTTCTGCTAGCATCTTGCAAATGAAAAACTTGTATCGCTCAAGGACAAACATTTAGTGAAACTGCCATGGTGATAAAAGATCTCCATGGCAACAGTAAATCTCTGCAAATCGTGTCTGATCTCTGGGGTTTGTTGGGGGGAAACCGAGCTGGTAAGGACCAGGGGGGATGAGGGGGTGATGGCATTAGCTGTGCAATGATGGCATTGGCTGTGCATCTACGGATAACTGCAGGCCTTGGATGACTATGATAAGAACCGCAGTGTGTAAAAAAAATGGGTGTCGCTGTGTGTCAAAATCTGAGAGGAAGATGGGGAGATTAAAAATATATATCGGTAAGGTTTCTCCTTCAAAACTAAGTTTAAAATGGGGTTACTTTATCTTGCTCACTATCAACCTCCTTTGGCATCAGAGTAAACAGAGTTTAAAGTTAGTAAAGCAGCATTATAATGTAAGTTGTTACGGTGCTTTGCTCAAATCCACTGACAGCTCTCAACCTCTAAGGGCTGCATCTTCACAATAGATTTATTCACAATCGTCTCAGTTATAGACATTGTGCTGTCTGACATTTAAGGCAAGACACCAGAGGTAAACGGTCCAGATTTTGACAGATCTCATCATAATTCTCAGTCGATTAATCACAGTACATTAAGACAACTGATTTGCATTACAAGTTTTCTGAAATGTTATTTTTAAAGATGTAGATAATGCATAATTTTATTAAATTAGCACTAATTTGCAAATATTTCCAAAACAGAAATCTGAACATTGGATTAAGCCAGGTTCAAAATACTTATTCTGTTAACATATTTGAGTTAAAGGTTTTTACAGAGGGAATCTTTTTGTCACTCTTTAAATGTGTATGTGTAAACAATGTGTATTTTGACTGCTTTCATTCCACCTTTCTGAAAGAAGACATGCTATGGAAGCATAACAGCCTAAAATCTCAAAATTGACCAGTGCTTGAAAAAAAAAATGGTTTTGTCTGATGTGTCTTGCCTTAAAGCAGACTGAGAGCTGTTTAGCATCAAGAGGAAGGGGGACAGCTGATCTGTTTCGTTTGCATTACAAATACGTGGATAGATGGATGAATGCATTCTCTTATGCAGGAAAAAAGAACAAATGAACCAGTACAAAAACTAATTCTGCATGTTTGTGCTATCTCAGTGCTAAGAGGCTTCTCAACTGATAATTACAAAACCACTTTTTTGTCTTAACAACCAGACTTGCTGTCTTTTCAAAAGCATCTGACTCATGCTCAAAAAGCCCTAATCTCTGAAATGTTAGCAGATCTACTTTGATCCCCAAACAACACATAATTGCCATCAGAAAGTCTTCTTCACTTTAAAGCAGCACTAGCTCTCAGCTCTTTGACCACTCTGAAGCTCGCAGAGGCTTGAGACTAGTACTGGGAACTGAAGCTGTATCCAAAAGTGTACCCGCACAGTTTAACCACTTTATTAGTGCAGATATTTCCGTTCTATATCGGTCTCTATTGACTTTAGTTTTATTGCTTTGCATTATAAACGTGTTTCATTAGACTGTTTTGTTTTTCTTTTTGTATTAATGTGATGTAAATGGCATTGTGGCATTCACTTTATTACATTTCCTGCTCATAATATCCATTTCTGTCTGTCCTGCATGCCGATCGTACAACAGGGCTACTCTGAAATATCAGTGATATTTCAATCAGAGCTTGGGCATTTCTTCAACTTTGGGCACAGCAGAGGTTGATTTTTATTAAAACGAATAGATTTATTTTTCTTTTCTCTTCTTCTCGTTTATATGAAGGTCACACTACAACTGTCTTGGAAACATTTTTTCATGCCTTTATTTTTTTTTGCAACTTTTTTTTTTTTTTTTTACTTTAGAGGGTTATACTTTCAATAGTAAATAAAATGTAATTTTTATACAAATTATTTTTTTTCCTTTTATCAAAATTTAGTGTCTTGTTTACCAAAGCAACAAGACCGTTAGTGAAGAGCATGCTTGAGATTAAATGTGACATGATAAAGTAAATATCACAGAATATTCTTATTAAGAGTAATTTACAAGCAAGATTGAAAAGTGTAAAAATTTTTATTTATGTGTATTTTACGATCCGTAAAATGCTAGCTATGAAATTAGTCTCAGAAAAATGGAGCCATTTTATTTCACAAATGTTTAAAATGTAATTTCCATTGCTATGTAGTATGCCATTGAGTATGCTATTAAACACACATGACTTGAGATGTGGTGGAAATAACACTGTGAGTGCTGGAAATATTCATGATTTCAGCATTCAATGACCCAGGCCTGTAAAATTCATTACTTTGTAGCTTTCCATTATGCTATTTTTTCTCTTCTCAATTATTTCTTCCTTGTGGTGCTCCATTGACATGATCAGCAGGATACTGATGAAGCTGCAGTCACTACTGCAGGTCTCATTGTTGCCTTTCAGCTCCAATCTATAATATAACTGAATATTGCTGCAATTTTACTTCTCATTTACTGATACTCAACTCTCTCCCCCACTCATGTGTTCAATAGCCTATCACCTTTCCTCTGGTGAATGACAAAAGGCATGGAGGTTTATTAGCCACTGATTTCTCTAGTCCCAAAAGCGATTTAAGTACACATAAACATAAAGGTTTCAAGGGGTTCACTGGGCTTTTTCTAGGCTTGATTGTGTTTATGGGGTGCAGTCTAACATGTGTTGCTTCGTTTAAAAAAAATCGCATTATTTTTCATATAATTTACCTTTATTCCACACAGCTCTGTCCCTTCTCAGAGAAACGGGCTGATCTTTTCCTGTTTTTATGAAGCCCCGCCCTCAGAAATAGGCGATGGGCTCTGATTGGTTAGCTAGCCCAGTGTGTTGGATTGGCTAAACCGCCTAGTGCGGTCTAAACGTCCCGCCCCTCACCTCAGCGGCATGTGCTCCGGTTGTATTGTAAACAACGTGTCGTTAATGTCGCTTATCAGTTTAAGCCCGATTGAGAAGCAGATGATATTATTGAAGAGGATCGTGCAGAACCTGTGCAACCATGGCTTTTAATGCTAGGCCTATGTTTTTTGTTTGTTGTTGTCTCATACTTTTAGATACGCTCATACTTTTAGATACGCTGATACGCTACTGCTTATGTTAGCTGAATGAGAGAGAGAGAGAGAGAGAGAGAGAGAGAAAGAGAGAGATGCAGAGCGTGTGCAGAGCAGGGGAACGCGAGGAACAGTATTGAGAACCGCTGCTTTTGAACATTGATTTTGAAACCTGTGAATCCATTAGAAGTCCGTTAGTCCGTTAGTTAATCCGTTAGAAGACAGAATTGCGATTCATATATGAACAGATTTTTACATGCACCTCTAGTTTCTCTTCCTCTCCTCTAAAGCAGTGCAGGCCTCGCCCCCTTTGCTGCCTTTTCCCGAGGGGGGGGTTTATCTGGGTTTGTGATGTCACGAACCCGTGAAGTAACTTGTTGTAGTCCCTACCAGCCGTTTTTGTAGGCATTAAACTGCCAGAATTTTGAAAAACGATATCTCCGTTTGCATTGAACTTTCAGCTTCGTAACTTTGCAGATATTGTTTATGCTCAAACAGCAACATTACACACTAACTAACGTTAAAAAAGTGAAATCGCAATGAACCACCCCTTTAAAGACCCTCTTTGGAACGCTCTTCGTTATAGTAGTGGCTTTAAACAGCCAAGGTCATATTAAAACCAATAAGGAATATTTTCTAGGATTTTCTGAAAGCAGAGTCTGTGGTTAATACTGTTATCATGTATATACATTAGATCAGAGTCATGACTCATCAAGACAGAATGACATCCTGTTCACAACAGTCTCAAAATAATGGCTTCACATCACCCTACAGCACAGTGTCATGCCCGCATGTTGATGGCATCAGGTGTACCTGCTGAGATGGTCCAGACGGCCGTGATCTTGGCCCGGGCACGGGAGCGTGAGTTTGACCGATTGTGTCGGATGGGGTTACGGATGGCCACATAACGGTCCAGGGAGATAGCGCACAGATGCATGATGGAGGCGGTGGAAAAGAGAACATCCAAATAGATCCACATGGGACACAGTGTTGCAGGGAGGGGCCAGGAGTAACCTGAAGAAGAGACAGACATTCAGAGAATCAGGCCCAAGGAATAAAACTGACAACAAAAGGCTTTGAAATATTGACTTTCCTGTTACATGCTAATGTGAGATAATTTAATGGGCTTTGTCCACTAAGCTCAACTGAGTGATTTTACTGAAAGGCATGAGCGTGAGTGATCAGTGAGTATAAAAATGGTTATTGTATGGCATTGTTGTGGAAACCACTTTTATTTTAAAAGTGTAGTACTCTTTCTATGCATCCATCATACCTGTCAACACTCTTGTTTTTTCCCGGGAGTCTCCCGTATTTCACATCCATCTTCTACCCCCATCCCGTTTAGTTATTTCTTTCCCCTGTAAACTCCCATAATTTGTATGGCCCAAACCTTGTTATATGAATAATCCCATCAATATATTTTTCCAAGGATGTCCAGTTGCCAGATCTTGTATGAAACTCATCTTACTTACACAATCGACACATCATACAAATTTCATTCCATTTGGGATCTCAACCTGGCAACCTACAACCCAGTTGCGCTGTTGATATCTGCGCAGGTAGTAGACGCGGGAAGTTGATTCAAGCATCACTGGTAGAAATGGGAGAAGACTCAGGTGGTGCAAAATAGGATATACATGTAAATTTAACAACAGCTGGATGGAAGAATTTAATTTCATATCTCAAAGCCATATTGACAATGCCTACGCCTTTTGCAAAGTGTGTCGCAATGATTTTAATATCGGACACAGTGCGAAAAATGGCGTTACTCAGCACATTACATTTAATGTTTAACAGTGTTTCTGTTTATGTAATAAAATTGGCAAAAGTCAGCGCATGTCGCTAAAAATTCTGCAAGCTCTGCGTTTGTCTGTGAATGAATGGCGTAGTTTCGTCTGATTCACAAACTCAAACACATGTGACGCTCACTGTTTTCAATGTCTTCGCCTCAATTTATGAGGACATAAACACATTAACTTCATCTCCAGAGCTGTAAGTATACAGACATTTCCTTCAACTCTAAAACGGAAATCTTCTTCATTAACGGACAATCCGTTAAGCAGAAATTACTACAAAATTATAGCATATCCTTAGTAGCGAATAAATCCAGCACAAATTGAACATGGTTTATTTTTTCCCTCATTTGAACATTTAGAAGTGCACAGAATGGCTTTTGTTTGCCTTAAACAGGTTAAGACTATATGACATCAATTAATTTAACAATGTGCAAAGCACCATTAAAAAGTGCTTGTACCATGGAATACTTTTTAGCTTTAATCAGCAACAGACAGAATTTTAAAAAAGTAAACATGAGCAGGTATACACGTACAATATTGGAGTTGCACCAAATAGTGATTCAAAACATTTTCAAATACGTGGCAAAAAAAAACAAAAAAAATGAATACAAGGCAGGGCTGTCATTAATCACAATTGCTATAGACTTACAGTCAATAGTCAAATGAAATGTTCCAGTGATGACGCCATTTTCCTATAAGAGAACACAATATTCTTTAAAGGGAAAGTTCACCAAAAAAAGTTAATTCTGTCATCAGTTACTCACCTTCATACCATTCCAAACCCATAAGATTTTTATTCATCTTTGGAACACAAATGAAGATTATTTTTAATGAAATCTAAGTGCTTTCTGTTCCTCCATTGACAGCCTACGCAACTACCACTTTCAGGGTCCAGAAAGGAATAAAGACATCATTAAAGTATGTGACTCCAGTGTCTTAACAGCAATTTTACAAAGTGACACAAAAGTTTTGTGGAAAAAAAACAAACAAATCAAAACAAAACCAAAAAAAACATATTTTTTCCATAATATATACATCTCAGACATATGTTCACGAGTGAACCGCAATGCATACTACATGTTGTGTTGACGTGAGAGCAGACGTTCTCACGATACAACCCATCCCGAAAGCACTGCACTGTTTACAAGCAGAGGGAAAGGGACACCGTCTGCAAGCTTCATGTATTATATTTAAGTCTTGGTTTATTTATTTATTTTTTAATGGTGCTCACAATGGTGTTTTAAAAAAAAAAAAAAAGTGTCAAAACAACACGCAAGCATTGTGGTGCTCTTGTGAAAACGTGTAGGAGATCTATGCTGAAGAATTTTGTGATAAAGACTTTTTTTTCTTTTTTTTGCACAAAAAGGACTTGTGTTGCTTCTTAAAATTGATGTTAAGCCACTGGATTCACATACTTTGATGATGTCTCTATACCTTTCTGAATCTTGAAAGTGGTAGTTGCATAGGCTGTCTATTGTATACTAAAATATAATTCTCAAAGTAATGATAATAATACACTCTAAAAAATGCTGGGTTGTTTCAACACAACTTTGGGTCAAATATGGACTAACCCAACCGTTGGCTTCAATTTTTACATTACATTTTTAACCCAAAAGTTGGGTTAGTCCATATTTGACCCAAAGTTG